TCTTCGATAGCTCGGTTTGAAATGATGAGGCTTATTTTAGCATTGATTGTACAATTACAATTGCTTGTTTGTCAATTTGATGTTAAAGGCGGCATTCCTCAATAGAGATTTACAAGAAGAAGTCTATGTAGCACAACTAAAAGGTTTCATAAATGAGGGCAATGAAACATAGGTGTACAAGTTGAAAAAGGCATTGTATGGATCGAAGCAGGCTCCATGAGCTTGGTATAGCTAGATTGATGGGTATTTTCAGAAAAAAAAAAAAAAAAGGTACTTGAGAAATGAGAACGAGCCCATGTTGTACATGAAAAAGGAAGGCAAAAATAATTTCATCATTGTTTGTCTTTATGTTGATGATATCATTTACACTAGTTCCTCTAGTTCTCTTATGGATGAGTTTAAGCTCAAATGATGAATGAATTTGAGATTATTGGATATGGGTTTATTACATTATTCTTTTGCCTTGAAGTCCATCAATATGAAGATGGAATTTTTATTTCACAAAGGAAATATGCTAGGGACCTCCTTAGTAAATTTGACATGCTTAAATGCAAGCTTTCAACTACATCCATGAATATTAATGAAAAATTACCACATGAAGATGGAGTAGAAATGGTAGATTCTAGGAGGTTCGAAGCTTGGTTGGAGGCTTGATTTATTTAACGTACACTCAACCTAATATTGCATTTCCTCTTGGTGTTATTTCCAAATTTATGCAACAACCTTCAAAGGTTCATTATGGAGCGATAGAGCGAGTCTTGCATCATACTATTGGAATTATAGAGCATGGAATTTGTTACTCTAAAACTTTCAATTTTGGAATATGTGGGTTCATAAATAGTGATTGGGTAGGTTCGTTGGATAATAGACGAAGCATTTCGATCAATCTTTTCACTCTAAGATCATGAGTGATCACTTGGAGCTCAAAGAAGCAAGAAATAGTGGCATTATCAACCTCAAAAGTTGAGTATGTAGGACCATTAGTTGCTTACTTGTTTCATTTGTGGATGATGGGTATCATCGGGTGTATGGTTCAAGCATTGCCATCTAGAAGTGCACACAAATTGGGGTTTGAAGATGGTTTGGGTTGTTTTGGATGGGAAGCTTCCCAATCGAAGGCTGCTTCCTCCACTAGCTGATCTTCCAATGTGTTGACATTCAAGGCTTCGAGTTGCTTCTTAACTACATCAAGACTAGAAGCGAGCGATCAATTTTTTTATTTTTTGGGATTTTCTTTGTAACCATCCATTTTATTTCTTTTTAACATTTTTTTCTTTTATGGCATTAGCCTTCCGAGATAATTTTTATTACCCATGTTGGGGTTGAGAAAGGAAATGAATGTACCATGTTTAGTACTTTGATCAACCTATTAATTATTTAATTTGCAAGGAAGATTTCACTATTATTTACTTTCTTTTGTATGTTGCAACCCAATGTGTGTGTGTGTGTGTGCTGAAAATTAAAGAATTTGTTTTTTCTCAAAAGATCTTTTTATGAGTTTCATGAGTTTTAGTATTTTTGTAAATCTCAAATGAAAATAACCGAACATAAAAAATGAGTGAAGAGAAAAAAAAATCAAGAGAAGAAAATGAGTAAAAAACATAATAAACAAAAGAAAGAGAAAATATTTAAAAGCACGACTTATTCTATTCTAACTTAATTAAATTTAATATAATTTTTTAAGATTAAACTAAGAGAGAAATGCTTTTTTGGTGCTCAACTTTTGATTTCTAATTATTTGCTATCCAAATTTTAATTTTTTGTTTGTTTTTCTGCTGAACTTCAATTGAAACTCAATTTTGCTTGACATATCAAATGAGAATTACCATGTGACAATCAAAAAGGATCACGTGACGATCAACTCCGGGCATGTCAACAACTTATGATTTAAGGTGGTTATGGACACTCAAATAGGAAAAACAAAAATGTAAGGTTAGGCATTGAAATAGAAAAAAAAAACATTTAAAGGTTGGGTACTTGAATAGGAAAAAAAAAATCAATGGCTCGACATCGAAAATATAGTTTTCTCAAGAAATTTATTTCGGTTTTAAAAAAAAAACTAAATGTCTATCCCTTTCTTGTATTTTGATAAATAATTTTCTTATGATAAATAGATTTCATGCATATCTTGTGCTTCGACACACACAAACACATATATGTAAGGTCGCTCAATTTTTTTTTTCTAGATATTGAAAGTCATATAATTTTAAATTCCAAAAATATCAGCAATTACATACATGCATATTTTCTTGTTATTATGCTAATTGCACAAGTAATTTTAACAATGCATTCGGTTCATAGCTTAATTCATACTTTATTTATTACCTTTATTATGATTGTCACCATTACCAAAAGTTTTACACTTAAACATCTAAATAAAAAAATTGATCACTAAACTTATTCATATCGATTCTATCTATCTCCACCTATTATAAAAAAAATTAGCAAGTTATTGGCCATAAAAAGTTTATGTCATCAATTATATGTTGGTAGATCTTCTCCCAAGACATAATAAGCAATTTTTGTTTTTTTTTGTAAATTTCTTCATTGACCAACAATTTGTTTTGCACATGAAAATTATAATTTAATCTTATATGTCTTTTATTTTTCTGGATTTACTCTTAATTGAACTTTATATATATTTAGACTAAATGACATAATATTAAATTTGTCTAGACGAGTAAAAGGGTTTAGAATTTTTAAACGAAATTTTTTTAACTAATATAGAGTATTTAAAATTTATCTTTGATAAATAAAAAAACACTACAAGTATGATATGAAAAAATATTTATTAGAAATTGTTAGAATGATTTTGCAATTTTGAGACGAGTAAATTTCTATATATATAAAAAAAAAAACCAGTTTTTTGATGCCCAACCTTTATTTATTTATTTATTTTTTATTTCAATGCCTAATCTTTGAATTTTTTTATTTGAGTGTCCACAATCACATTAAAGCATGAGGTGCTGATGTGTCTAGAGTTGACTACCACATGGCATGTTTTGATCGTCACGTGGCAACTCCCACCTACCACGTTAGCGAAGTTGAACCGTAGGTGAAGTCGGGTGCCAAAACAAATAAAAAATCAAAGTTTGGATAGCAAATCATTAGAAATCAACGAGTTTATTACCAAAACAGGAAAAAAAAATCAAAAGTTGGATACTAAAAAAGTATTTTTCTCTTAAACTAATAAAGAAATCCCCAACCAAACAACTCAACTTCATCTATATGAAATGAACCTAGACAAAAGAGTGTCTTGGTTTATAACCATAGTTAGGTTTATATATAAAAAAATCCCAAAAAGTCAAGAGGAGGTAAAAAAAAAAAAAAAAGTAAAAAAATATAAAAGGATAAAAACAAAAATGAAAACTTCTCTCTCCAATTAACCATTTGTCTCTAACTAAATCGCTAATTTTTTAGCTTGAGAAGATGAACGGACTATCAAAGTAGTCCATTGCCACTTAGAGTAACCTTCCTCTACCTATGGTTGTGATTGAGAACAACAAAAGTACGACCAAAAATGGAGTAGAAGTCTTGTATTTTGATGAGACTAAAGCATCACTAGATTTGCAATTTGATTTTTAAGTTTAATACTCTCTAATTGAAGTTGCAAAAAGACTCTTAAAGTTCTCTTAGGCTGATCTTAAGTGATTACAAGCCTTAAAATCTTCAATTTCTAATTGAGTTTTTTCAAGAAGAAGAAGAATTTGGTCAAAAGTTACGGTCATCAATCCTCCCTGTCCAACTAGTTATGTTTAGCACAACCTTCATTGAAAGGTAGATGAGGTCGACAAGAAGCTTTCTAGACCATTCATATTCAGAAAGTTGCTAAAAACCAATCGAACGATGAACAACAATGGACAACACCTAAACAAGATGGAAGGGTAATTTCATAAATAGTTGTTGTGCTTGCTCTTCATGCGCTAGGGGAAGAACATTAGTTTCCATCAACTATTTAGAGGTATTTAGGGTCATTTTAGTGACTTTCTAGGTAAGTTTCGACTATCTTATGATTTGAAATAATACATCTAACTTTACGTATGTTTTTGATTGATTGTGAAAATAATTTAGATGTGTTGTGATATGCTAATACATATCAAACTCAAGGGATGCAAAACTCTTGGGCATGTTATGGTGAAATAAGAACAAACTCAATACTCTACAATAGAGCTAGGAGAATGGGATTGAGATTTAATTTCAAGGATTGTCGATGTCGGTGCCATTTTGATTATGTGATTGTTTGAGTGTGATTGAAATATGAATCAATTTTTAATACGCTCTTTAGTAAATAAAAAATGTTGATTGATTGGTTTTGAAATTGTATGATATATGTGAAATGACTTATGACAACATTATTGACATGATTCTAGTTTGTTGTCAAACGAGTTATAAAAAATAACTTATGTTGTCATTATTGGTTTATTTTTTTTTCTATAGACATATTTAAGTGCAAAATGACTTGTTTTTGCTACTTTTCGCTTGATTTTCATTTGTTGTTGAATGATTTATGAAAAATGATACGTGTTGTCACTAATGATTCTTGTCCATTTTTGAACGAGTTATGAAGAATAAATTTTTTTCTTTTGCCTTTTTTGGCTTTATTTTCATTTCATCGTTGAACAAGTTATAAAAAAATGATATGTGTTGCCACTTTTAACTTGATTCTCATTTGTTGTCGAATGAATTATGAAAAATAATTTGTTTTGTCACTTGTAGTTTGATTTTTGTTCGTCGCCAAATGATTGATGAAAATAATGTGTCATTGTCTTCGAATAAATTTTCATTGATAAATTTATGAAAATGATTTGTATTGTTGTCTTTATATATATATATATATATATATATATATATATATATATATTTGTTGATGAATTTATGAAAATGATATATGTTTTCATCTTCAATTTGATTTTTTCATTGACAAAAATGATATGTGTTGTCTTTTATAACTTAATTTTATGAAAAATAATTTTTTTGACATAAGAGTGTTTGCACTAACCATGGAGTCAAAAGATAAGGTTAAGGAGGTCGTGAAGGGGCCGAATGGCTTGATGTATAATGGGTTGAAAGCTTGTTGCTAAATGGTGGTCGAGAATGCCTTAACTTGGATGTTTAAGACCAAAGTATGCATCTCTATTTTTTTGTATTTATTTCTTTTTTGGGATATTTTAATTCATTCTTTTTGGATGTGGATTGTTATTTTATTTAGGCTTTTTTTAATTCCATAATTGTTATTGATCGTTATTTAATTTTGACTCATATTAATTAATCTTTGTTAGATATGGATTGGGCTCAAGTCTTTAAGACCAACTAGGGTTAGGATTTATTTCTTTCTTTCTTTTTTTCTAGTTCTTAATTCAGCATGGGATTAGTTGTGTAGTCTAATTAGACAAGTTTTTCTAAACCATAACTGAAATTTATCCTAGCTATTTAAAGTTTATTTTTCTTGCAATTTACTGATTTTGATTAATTGATAAATTGTGTGAGATTATTCTCCCAACCTTAATGTTCTTACGGAATATAGAACGTAACTCTTATCCTTGACATTGATCACTCAAGATGACAATTTGATCGATCCGCAATTAAAAATCAAACGTGGTATTTACGTATCCTTAGATTGTTGATGTACTTAATCCATATAAGTCTTGACTTCGGTTTATGCTTGCTCTATTGCAATTGAAATTTGATGGAACTTTATTTAATTAAGAAATTATGTGAGATTATTCTCCCAACTTTGGTATTCTTATGTATTATAGGACTTAACTCTTATCGTTGATACTAATCACTCAAAGTAGCAATTTCATCAATCGGCTTTCAAGAATCAAAGCTAATGTTTCCTTATCTTTATATTTTTGACGTACATATTCCATGTAAATCTTAACTTTTGATTTTTTTTTTTTTTTGGGTTTTTAATGAAAATTTGATTGAACTTGATTCCTATCCTGTGATTTTCGTCTTGGTTCTAATTTTTTTAATTAGAATTCGGCTCTTTGATAATTATTAGTGGAAGTTATAACAAGGTCCAAAATAGATGGTTATGGTTTTTGACTTAAACTAAATTTTGGACCAAGTAATCTGGTAGACCTACAATAAGTTTGGTTAAAGTTTCGTAATTAACAAAAAAATTTAGGTTAGGTTTTAGTCTAACAAAAGAAATAATTAAATAGAGTTTAAGATTTATTTCTTATTATATGGTTCTACTTGTGTTTGTTTTTCAAGGTTAGATTTGGTTTGTGTTTGTTTCGAGTCCGTTTGGATTTTGGGTATTAGAGTTTGGATTAGCTTAATTAGAGGGTAAGCTGGTTTAGTCTTAAGGAGTATTTTGGATGCTTGTGAATCAACTTACATAGATTTTCACCTATCCGGTGTCAACGTGGCATTAGAGCCAAACTTGCTTTTGTTGTTTGTATTATTGATACTTATGTTAAGATGCCTCTTAAAATACCATTAGTCTATTTAACTATGGCTGATTTGTAGGGCTGTATGGAATGTATGATGCAAATAATTGAGTAGCTTGAAATTCGGAGGGTCCCTAGGATTTATAAAATAGAAGGTCGAGAGATAAAGGGATAAGGAGTGAAAGATCGAGAGTTTAAGGGCCAAAAGGAAGAGCGTTGAGAATCGGAGGGTGAAAAAGAATGGCTTCAATTTGAGAATCCATTCCATAACTAACTCCGCCTATTCTTTCAAGAAAGAGGAAGTTACACAATCAAGGCTTATCACAAAGACGAAAACTATCACCTCAAGACTTCGACATCAAGGCGAAATTCCGGACTTTGAGAGAAAGCTTAACCCTATTGATTTTATGAAGTGGTTGTGTATAATTATGAGGGTTTTCAAGTATAAAAACGTGTTAGATGATAAGAAAGTGAAGATAGTATCTACCAAACTCAAGAAAATACTTCCATATGGTGAGAGATTTAAAAATGATGGAGAATTCGAAAGGATAAAGGAAAGATTATTTTATAGGATAAAATGAAGAAGATGCTTAGGCGAAGTATCTATCCGACTATTATTGATCGGATACCTTTGTGAGGTTTCATAAAATTAGCAAAGCAACTTGAGCATAGAAGAATATGCGAGTGGAGTTTGAACAATTTATGCTAAGTGTGATGTCAATAAGCCTAAGGATCATTCGGTTGCAAGGTTTTTAGGGGTATGAAGTTGGAGATAGCTAATGTAGTTCGAGTTATAACAATAAAACACATTACAAAATGTCATTAAACTAGCATTGAAAGTGGAGAGACATCCGAAATCTATAAGGTGGACTATAACGTTTCAGCTAGAGAGCTAACTCCTACCTAAGAAGGTTCGGTTGAAGCTTCTATATCGAGCCTTAGTATAGTTTGGCCGGAAAGATTTTTCTATGGAGCATCAAGTAGTGCCACCAAACCCAACCTTATAAGATTAGATGCTTGGAATTATTTCAAGTGTCTAGGATTTGAACATATTCTTTTTGATTGCTTGAACAAAAGGATCATGTGTTTTGATGAAGAGGCTAAATGTGTTAAGGAAAAAGAAGTGAAAGAAGAGGTAGTGACCAACGTAGAAAAGGAGTTGCACACTAATGTAGGTGAGATGCCGATTATGGATAAGGTTCGAAATACCAAGTTTATTGATCTAGACAATCAATGGTGGATGAGTAATATTTTTTCACACATCTTGCATGTCGATGTAGATGAGATGCCGATGATGCATAAGGTTTGGGATATCGAGGTTATTGATGTAGATAGTGAATGGTGGAGGAATAATATTTTGTTCACACATGTTACACCCCTTATGGAAAAATGTGTGATGTGGTTGTTGATAGTGGTGCTTACAAGAATGTCATAGCTTTGAATATGGTTGATAGGGTAGGATTGACAATGGTTGATCATCCTCAAACATATATGATGCTTAGGTAATGAAAGAAGGGGATTCCTAGTAACCAAGAGATCTCTTATAGAGTTCATTATTGGGTTGGTCTATAAGGATTAAGTTTGGTGTGATGTTATTCTCTTAGACAAGTGTCATATTTTATTATGAGGCCATGCATTATGATTGAAGGGTTATACATTATGGATATAAAAATACCCACTTACTTAGGATGAATCGGGAGAAGATCATTTTGATATGCAGGAAACTAGAACATTTAACCATGCCAAAGAGTAATAAAGGTACATGATGTTTTATCTTTATATTTAGGTAAACTACCGGGGGATGTGTTTGAGCCTAATATATGAGGCGACTCTAAGAATTATGTGGTTTGGAATTCAGCATCTAGACATTATGTGTATGATTATGATGACATTGATGTTTCTTACGACATTGATATGGCCATGGATTGTAAGATTAATAACAATCATAGTGATCTCATTTAGCTGGAGGCCATCAAACTTAGGAGGATTGAGATTGAGCATACTTGGTTTATGTACTACTAAGAGGGAGAACACTATTTTGGTTGAGGTTAAAGATGGTGATGTTGTTAGGGGTGAAAACCAAGAGTTGTGCTACTATTTTAAGGGATGCCACGAACGTGATTTATGAGGCGAGTTTCAGCTAGTGTGCCTACGCCTTGTGCGAGAGGTGATTGCTAATGAGGGTTCGAGAGTTGCTTCTAAGCTAGATAGGTTGCAAGAATTTTTTGGGTTACCCTTTCTATATAGAGTTTAACTTCAAAACATCTTTTTGAGGTGAATTGTGAAAAACCTTAGATGCAAGTTAGTCGGTTTAAGAGGCACATAGTTTTTTAGAGGGTGACTTGGTTTCAATTCACATGCAAAAAAAGTGGTTCTCCAAAATTTGATATGCTAATTTCAAGAAAGTGGATGATCCTTTTCTTCTTCTAGGAAGAGTTAGGGAGACCTCTTAAAAGGTGGAGCTTTCGAGAAATTATATGGTGTCCGGCAAATTTAATATAGCCGACTCGATACTCTATTCTAGTGACATGAAAGACAAGGCTAAGACATCAAAGACGAGTCTTCTTTAGTTAAAGAGCTTGACATATATAGGAGTTCTTGCATCGACTATGGAGTCAAAGGACTAACACCAAATGTGTAACTCCCTCGACCTAAGACCTAATAGGTCTAGAATATTATTGTCATTGATCCACATTAGAAGTGCAATGAATGCAAGTCAACAAAGCACTATGCCTTTCCTATGACATCACTAGATATGAACTACGCTGCGAAAACCTTTAAATGATGAATAAGTCATACATTTCAGTCCAAAACGCATTATAAATTTTTCATATTTTATTATTTTATTTAGGTTGCTTGGACTAAATGGATTGGATCTAATACGCTCTCGTTTTTCCAAATTCATTTTCTATTAGTTTACGGGAATTTATTTATTAATTACCCATTATTCAATACTTGATTTCCTTATCCATATTAATTTCTATTTATGATTATTATTTTTCTTATTAATTGGTTATCACATTTTATTATTGACATTGACATGTAACGAGTGATTAAAAGAAACTAACACTAACCATAACTAGGTCATTATACTATAATTGACTCATACAAAATTTTGGTTATCGTACAACTACATTTATTTACATACAAACTAGCTTGATGTTATATACTACAAAAATGACTTATTTATCTATTTACATCCCATTTCAACTAGCTATCCATCGGTTCGGAGCTTTAATTATTACATAAAAGAAACTCGTCATACCCAATCTATAAATTATAATACCGAGAACTAGGAAAAGGATCGCATGAAGGAGGTCCACTTGAAAACCGAAGCCCCATCCAAGATATATATGGTGCATTAATCCTTCTATCAATAATTCAAGGGTGAACATTGCCATCCGTACTTTGAGTGCCTACACCGTAAGAAACTAGGTGAGCAACGACTCGATAAGTTAATCCATGCATGACGTGCATATATATACGTGTAAAGTGCACATGAGAAACCATTTTTATATCTTTTTCAAAAATCCTTCTCATGATCATTCTGAAAAATCCTTTTTCTTTCATGCTTGGACGTGTCCAATCGAGTATCCGAAGGCACCCATCGGTACTCGCTCGGTGTTAAGCATCTAAAGGTACTAATTCGCACCTACTCGGACTTGTCGAGTATCCGAAGGTATATGTCTACACCCACTCAACCCATAAAATTCATGAAATCCATGTACCATGTAAATCATAAAAGTCATGAAACATCACGTGAATGATAAAATATTTTTCCAATACTTTTGGAAAAATCATAAAGAAAATCTTTTCATGACTTTTAAATTCTTTCCATGAATTGGCATGTTAGTGCTTTTAATGTAAATGCATTAAGCTTATGCATTATGCCTTACATGCCAAATGAAATGCCATAAATAAGATGTATATTTCAAAACCATGATTGTACCATGCCATTCATACCATGCATTGCCATTCAAATCCATTCCAAACCATTCCTTGTAATAGAACCATTAACATAAACATTACAATTCATAAAAACCCCGGGTTTAACACAAGGCAATGCACATTAAACCATCCAATTCATAACATAGAAATCACACATTCACATTACCATAGAAACACATAAATTACATTGTGATTAAGTCACACAAGGCAATCCATAACCCTAAATTTCCTAATGTTAGTTTAATGTGTCATTTAGTTAGGCTAGGAGAATTTTTCAAATTTTCATGTTAATTCTTCATGCTAAATTGAATTATATTTTAATATAAAAAATTTAATCAATTAAGCATCAATAAGCTAATTAACGTGTCAAAATCCTAAATTGAACCTAATAGGCCGAAACCCTACATAGATTAATCTAAGTTACTTTTTCAATTTTAATAAAATTCTTCACTCTCTTTTATCAATTCATGCTTAATTAATTTCTAATCAACTAATAATTCATCAAACAAGCAAAGGAATCAAAACCTTAATTTTGCTTAATTTAGGTTGAATATACCCTTAAGAAGATCAATGAAAATTTTTCATTTTTAATGCAATTTCTCACACTCAATCATCAATTCATACCTAAATAACACATAATCAAGTGATAAAACTTAAAAAAAAAATCGAAGAATCAAAAACCCTAAAATCATCATTTTGGGTCGAATGGTTTCTCTCTCCTAACCCTAGAAATTTTTTATTTTTACCCACTAATTTTAAGCCCAATTAACATACTTTAAGCTCAATTGCACGATTTTATAACTCAAAATCACTTTCCTAAAATTAACCTAACTAAGAACCCTAACCCTAATTTTCAAAATTAATCCAATTAAACAAACAATTAGCACTCCAAAATCACAATTAACATACAATAATGGTTCTTGTAGCATAGGTCAGATTAACATACCTTAATAGCTCCAATTAAACCTTGAAATATTTGATTGCTTGAGAAATTATTCTATCCTTTTTATCCCTAAAGTTTCAGCCAAGTGTGAGATTTGTTCTCCTTGGAATTCTTTGTGTTCTAACTAAAATTCTAGGTTTAATTAGATGATTTAAGGTGTTTCAAAGAGTTTAAGAGGGAATATGGGTGGAGTTTGATGGAAAATTTGCAAGATTTTTCCCTAATGTTTGCTATTTTCTAACCATTTTTCCATTTTTTCTACCTCTCATATCTATAGGCAAAATTAATTAGACTTTTTCCTTTTGTTGACTCCATCTCCACCCTTAATTTGGTTCAATCTTGGACCTTGATTCTCCTTTTAATATCATCCCTTCATTTAGTTTTAATCTTAACCATCCATTCTTTCTTTAATTTTTATCCTTCCATCTAACCACTCTCTTTAATTCTTAACCCTATATTTGTGCATGAATTAATTACACCCAAATAATTGGGGTGAAAGTGGTGGGAAAAGGAGAGAAAATCTCTCCCAAACTTTGCTTAATTTTAGTCCTTTAATTTGTTAATATTTCCTCTAATTACTATTTGATAAGTCGTTTAATTATTCAATTCATCACTTTAGGCACTTCCTTTAAAGGTTTTCTAAAAAAATTTAATTCCAAAAGTTCATTCCTAATTTAATTTGAAGTTCAAATTTTTAATTTTATACAATTAGGTGCCTAATTCTATGCAATTAGGTCCCTAGTTCTATCAAATCTATTCCACACCTTTCCAAAAATTAATTTCTTTTCATAATAAATTCAAACACATCCTATAGTTCTATCAAATCTATTCCACACCTTTCCAAAAATTAATTTCTTTTCATAATAAATTCAAACACATCCTATAAGAATTTATTCATCATTCACATAATTTTTATATACTTATTTAAGCCCTTTAATTTTTATTTTTTTCTTTTTGTAGAAATGCACTTATTTCTATAAAAAAAAATATTCCCTATGCATAGAAAAATTCATCTAAGTTCATGGAATATTCCTACATATCCTAAATGATTTTTCTATATCCATTAGATAATTTTCATACACCTTTAAACCACTCAAATTATTAATTCACCTAGAAAACCCTATTCATGCATTGAAAAGTTCAAATAAACTAATCACTAAACATAAAAAAATCCATCAAATGGCATCGAATAATCTAACACCCTCAAGCAAATATTCTATGCAAATAAAACATTTTTCATGCATCTAACAAGCTCAAAATAATTATTTCACATAAAAAATTACTATTCTTGCATCAAAAAATCAATAAAATATTCACTAAGCATGGAAAAACTATCTTAACTCGCTCTGAATATTCTAATAACCATTTAAGGATGATTCCATGCGCACAAACTATTTTTCATATGCTTTTAATATTCTTAAACTTATTCATTGGACGTTTGTAACGACTCCGACCTAGAACTTAGTAGGTCAAGAATATTACTATCGTTAACTCACATTTGAAGTATAATGAATGCAAGCCAATAAGATACTATGTCTTTCTTATGACATCACTAGGTATGAACTACGCTGCAAAAACCTTTAAATGATGAATAGGTCCAGCATATGAGTCCAAAATGCACTATAAATTTTTTACATTTTATTATTTTATTTAGGTTGCTTGGATCTGAATAGATTGGATCTAAGATGCTCGATTCTTCTAAATTTATTTTCTATTAATTTGTAGGAATTTATTTATTAATTACTCATTATTCGATACTTGATTTCCTTATCCACGTTAATTGCCATCTATGATTATTATTTTCCTTATTAATTTGGTGATCACATTTTACTATTGATGTTGCATGTAAAGGGCTGATTTAA